AGGGTATCCATGTAGGGTATAAACTGTGGCATGTTATCTCAGTGGGCTAGGACTGTCAAACTGGCATAAGTGCAGACAGACAGACAGACAGAGACACACAGTCACAGACACACACACACACACACACACACACACACACACACACACACACACACACACACATTTTAGGATGATATTCTGTCAAACTGGCATAAGTCCAGACAGACACACAGACAGACACACACACACACAACACACACACATTTTATGATGATATTCTGTCAAACTGCCATTAGTCCAGACAGACACACAGACAGACACACACACAACACACACAACACACACACATTTTATGATATTCACCCTGCCCAGATTTGCAACCATAGCTTCAATTTGAGTCCTGTTTGAATGAAACAATGTTGGAAGTATCCGCCGGTCAAACAGTCAGTGATGTAACAAGCACTTGAGCATGTTGAGTTGCTTGTGAATGTCTCAAATACAACTGGGAATGCCTGATAACATATGGACTTCCGTCTCCGCATCTTGATACGCAGGAAAATATCTTTTCCGGCTGAAAATTCTGTGTGTAACAGTCTTTTGCTTCTATTAAGATTTTGAGGGCTTGCACATACGAAGCAACAATTTTGAATGTGGATCAATGCTGAACTCTTGTTCGTAAGGATCATATTGATTGGTTGTATACTAAGGGCAACAAAAGGTAATGTGCATGATGCATATTCGATCATATATGTGCAGTTTCTTTTTGTGTGTCCTGTGTATATCACTAAAGGCACCAAAAGAAATGTACGTATTCCATGATATGTGAAGTTTCTTTTTGTGCCTTAGCACATGTAGTATATACATCACGAATTCACCAAACGAAAATGTGCAAATGATAAAATTCTTTTGTTTCCTTATAGATTCTGTGCTCGGCATAACTCCAAATTTAAGCTTTGATGGATCAAAGCGATCTTAGCGCTATGACTATCGTATGCCTATGTGGAGTTATGATCACCTTAGCGCTAAGATCGCTTTGTGGAATGGGTGCCAGGGCTCATTCCACAAAGCGATCTTAGCATGCTTGTCGTAAGTTTATGTTAAAATATGGGAGTTACTATCGTCTTAGGGGGTGGTCGGGTAGCCTAGTGGTAAAAGCGTTCGCTCGTCATGCCGAAGACCCAGGTTCGATTCCCGACATGGGTACAGTGTGTGAAGCCTATTTCTGGTGTCCCCCTGCCATGATATTGCGTGAATATTGCTAAAAGCGGCATAAAACCATACTCAATCACAATACTATCGTCTTAGCACTTAGATTGCTTTGTTGAATAGGGCCCTGCATATTTATGATAATAATAATAATAATAATAATAATAATAAGATACCCTGGATGATTGAGGATGTTTGAGGATGGTTATTTGATACAAACGCACACCATCTTATTGACAAGGCTACAGGATACATCTCAACACATCCTTGTTGTTGCCTTCAGGAGATTGGGGACCTAAGTGCGTGACCTGACATTATTCAGCTTACCATTGAGTCTCCCACACACCAGAGCTAAGTCTACCCATGATATTCAAAGCACACAATAAGGATTTAAATTTGGTAGATGGAGCATACAGAGGTAGGCATGTTACGTGACGCCATGAAAAAGGTATACCAGATTTACCTGTGTCTTATTTCTAGTCCACCTGGGGACAATGGGGGACAATGGGGGACATGTATCTAAATAGTTTTTGCCAGGGCAGCGGTAAAACAATTACCATTCGGACATTTTGTACCCAACTCTTGAGACCTATAGCGCGTATCCGGGTAGGGCCGGGTAATAGGGTGTCAGGTACCCGGGTAGTAAATGTGGACTCGTCCCAGCCCTAACGTACTGATGTCATGTTATCCCACATGCTCGAAAGCCTTAAGCCAATTATAGATGCAGATTTCATTGGTTGAAGAAAACCTAACCATTTACGTTATGAATTTTTCGTCGTGTATTTCTTACAGAATAGAATGTTGGTTTAATAATATATACATGTGACATGTTAGTTTTTTTGCACCCACTCTCAATTTGTACGCTTATAGGATGTAATATTTTGCATCAAGTAAAACCCTGTCTGTATTGTGAAATATCTTCATGGTGAAGGACAAAAGCATTGGGTGTTTGTTGATGAACAAAACAGGTATGGCTGTTTGAATCATAACTAAGGCCACACTTTTTTAATTTTTTGTTTCACGGATTTATTCCAGCTTTTCCACACACGTTCGGTCAAAATAAAAATAAAAAGCTATGTCAATAATTTATTTGTTTGTTTGTTTGTCATTCGGTCAAGTTAAAACTGCAGCTAGCTTCTTGAATAACGCTGATGTAGACATGGAATTTATATACAACATCTTTTATTATATATGAGGGCCTTTTTTCTAGCGGGAAACATAATAAAAATAAATATGTTTTATGTTTAATTTATTTTTTTGCCTGGCTGCTTTTCAGTTGGGGGCGGGCCTGTGAAACAAAAAATAAAAAATGCATGGCCTAAATCAAACTAGGCCCCCCATGGCCATGGGCCCCGAACATGTATTACTGAGTCGCCTGAATTCATGGATAAGATAGACATAGGTAAATCCCTCTATGGAGTGTTGAAATATGATCTTCTTAAATTACACGAAGGTCAATATTTTGAACTTGGTGAAGGACTTTTCAAAATTGTCCTTTTGTGTTGTTTTCTATGCATATATGCCTGTGCTATTCTATAAAAAAAATGAAATGACATGCACTCTACAATGCATTGCAAAATGTGTCACTTGGTCACAATGTCTCTTCGCTAAGCAGACATACTCAAAGGGTATTATTATTATTATTGTTATTATTATTATTATTATTATTATTATTACCATGAGTATTGTCATGATGTTTTTTGTATTGGGGATAGATCAAAGACATCACAAGTATCTTGACAAACCATCACTCTATGATAAACATCACTGATGCAGACACCAGCCTATTGCTTCTAAAGCTTGAGTTCACTGACGCGGAATAGCTTAAGGTGTTCAACATTAGATACTTAACTACCATTACACCATCGTCAATCTCTATCACGTCTGGTAGTTTCTACCCAAATACTTTCTTAAAATATCTCCTCCTCGGAATGGTTTCTCCATCTCTGCAATCTTATATGTTCCCCTGCTGTTACGGAGTGCATGGATGTAGATATGTAACAGCCCCTCTGTCCATCAGTCTCCTGCACGCTGGCTCTCCAGCCTCCGTACCTCCATGTTTTACATGTCTTAGAACTGAAGGGAGCCTCTTACTTCTTGATGCAAGAATTATTGGTTGCCATGGTTATGGTAAATGATTGGAATATTGAGAAGGTAAGTGGTTAGACTTTGAACTGTCTCCTTGATTATGTCATTGTGTGCTGGTGTTGGAATGTGTGAATCTGTGGTCTGTGATCCTCAGTCTCACACATTTCTTTTCACTCACTCAACTGCCTCAAGTCTCTCCAAGTTGCAACCATTAGGTCTGGTAAGCAAACCTTCCTTCGCAGTTTCCTCAGTTTATTTCTTAGAAATAGCCATGATTATGTTTCTAGGGTTGTCAGCACCATACCCGTGCTCGTGGGTTTCACCGAAGTGGTAAAAGTCTAAGACCTGCATCACTTGGGGCTTTCCTCCCACATAAAGCTCAATCACTCACTCACTCTTAGAAATTGAATCAGATGAAGGTCAACAGATACAATTATTGTTTGTTTGTTTGGTGTTTAACACTGCACTCAGCAATATTCCAGCTATATGACGGCGGTCTGTAAATAATCGAGTCTGGGCCAGACAAGCCATTGATTGATATTATGAGCATCGATCCACGCAATTGGGATAGATGACATGCATCAACCAAGTCAGCAAGTCTGACCACCCGATCCCGTTAGTTGCCTCTTACGATAAGCATATTCCCACCTTACAGCAAGCATGGGTTAGGTATAGTTACATACATAAAGTTACATACATAAAGTTAGACACAGGATGTGTCCCCAACATGATAAATATCCTGTTTAATCCTTTAATCTAGTTAATCCCACAATCAACGCCCAACTGTGGAAACCAGTAAAAACCTGTGATATCTCAAATTGTAAAATGTTGTAATTTCCTAATGATAGTTGTGAAAATAGTTTCTTCGGATCTTCACGGGTTACAGATACATTTTAAAACAAAGAAATGTATTTGCCTGCCTTCTTACAGTGACTCGTATCCATTACACACCTTTCCTACAATCTTTGAAGTCTAAATTACATCACAGAACTGTATAGATTAGTATGTATTTTGAATTATATTTTTTATCTTTTCCATCATGTAGTGCTATGAACAACCACTTGGTGTATGGAATTTGACACTTTAAAAATGGACTTATTTTTATTAAGGCACATACAAAAAAATCTTGCTTCTCGCCACAAATAATTATTAAAATATGTTTTATTTTATTATTTTTTCCTCCACTCCAACCTAAGATCTCAGGTGTACAAAATGAATTGCCTTGACATTGTGTGTAGTGGGAATGATATTGCGGATCAGTGCATTGTTTTTGCATGAGACCCAGGGCCTCATTTGTTTTATTATTTGTATCACGGGCCCACCTCTCCTACTGAAAAGTCCAGAAAAAGATTAAACATAAAATATCTAATTTTGTTATGTCTACCACTAGAAATATAGACTCTCTTATACAATAAAACGTGTCATGTATAAATTCCATGTCTACATCACTATTGGTGATTCAAGAGGCCACCTGCAGTTTTAACACCACAGCAGAATGAATTTCATGTCAATAAATAAATAAATGATTGCCAATGCTGTTAAATTTTAGTTTTATTTCCACTGATCTTTTGTGGAAAAGCTGGAATAAATCAGTGAAACAAAATTTTAAAAATGTGGTCTTATGCGTAACCATGGAAACAAAACTACTTTTTGGGGTGGACATTAGTAGCATCAATCACTGACACCTTAACAATAACAGTGCTACTGACACCATGCATCTGTTTCAGCCCCAGTATGACCTAGGGGAAACAAGGGGACTGACAGCTATGGACAACTTGATTGACAGCTTGTCGGCTCATCTAGCACCACTGTCAAGCTAACTCACACCAAGGTAAGGTTCCACCATTGAGTTGCTCAATTGTCCTGGTTACAGGTCATCTTGGTGGTTACAGATCATCTTGGTGGCTACAGGTCAATGTGGTGCTCAGTTTAGTCACATGACCAATTCATCGCCGCTACCCCCCCCCCAGACTGTATCTATATATAGTCTACATGTCGAAGTCAACTGGGTCATTTCATGTGTGTGAGATCGTGATTGTTGTGGACAGATTTAAACTGTGACATTGTTTATGGCTATTTCTCGTGATTGTTGTTGTGGTGAGATATATACTCATTGTTTATGTCCATTTGACATGACTGGTGTGAATAGAGAGAGACATTGTTTAGCTGTGTTTCCTAATCTTCCCTATTTACTGATGGTTGGCTGTCTTAAACACCCTTCTGGACCAATCTGTAAGTAATCTTTAAATACGTCCCTACAAAGACTGAAAATTTACATGACAGTCCATATTTCCTTGTATATATTACAGTCTTTACAGAAGAGAGGAAGAGATAAATATTTGCAAAGTGGCTATTATTGAGAAAGTTTAATCAATGTTGAACTAGTTTTGTCCACTTCCGCTTGATCTCTGAAAACAGATTTAAGTCGTTGAGTATGGTTTTAACACCCCCTTTTCAACCCCAAAACTTGAACCAGAGAATTGGGGGGTGCACATAATACATGTCAATGTTATGCACTATAAAAATATATCAGTTGGTGATAAAATATAAGATTTTGAAAGAAAACTGAAGTTTCTCTACTTTCTGCACATTCTGTAATCAGGTTATTGAGCCATACAAATCAGCAATTTCTTGCTGACAAATTTAATTGTTTTCAGGTGTTTAAATTAAAGCTAAACTATTTTCACAACTATCATCAGGTAAGTACAGCATTTTACAATTTGAGATATTACAGGTTATTAATGGTTTCAACAGTTGGGATTAACTAGATAAAGGATTAAATGGGAGATTTATCATGTTGGGGACACATCCTGTGTCTAACTTAACGTATGTAATTTTACGTAACCCATACTTGCTGTAAGGGGCGACTGTGCTTGTCATAAGAGGCGACTAACAGCATCGGGTGGTCAGACTTGCTGACTTGGTTGATGTATGTCATCTATCCCAATTACGTAGATCGATGCTCATGATGTCGATTATTTACCGACCGCCATCATATAAATCAAATTGTTTGATAGGAATTACTTAGAAGTTGATGGATGGTTTGTGGATAATAACTTCTTTAATTACCGTATAGGCGACGTTTTGGTATAGATCCTTATACCGTTGTCAAGCAAGCCTTGCTTGACAACAGTATAAGGATCTATACCGTAACGTCGGCTTTACAGTAATTACAGAAGTTGATATCCACAAATTATGTCTACTTTGGCGTCATATAGCTGGAATATTGCTGAGTGCGGAGTTATGCAACAAACAAACAAACACTCCCACCATAAGTCAATCCTGTCTTCATTAACATCACACATGGATACGTGTAAATGAAAGGTGTTTAAATGAAAGCAAAACTATTTTCAGAACTAACATCAGCAAAATAAAACATTTTACAATTTGAGATATCACAGATTGTTACTGGTTTCAACAGTTGGGCGTTGATTGTGGGATTAACTAGATTAAAGGATTAAACAGAATATTTATCATGTTGGAGACACATCCTGTGTCTAACTTTAGGTATGCAACTTTACGTAACCCTTACTTGTGGTAAGGGGCGATTATGCTTGTCGAAAGAGGCGACTAACTTGGTTGATGCATGTCATCGTATCCCAATTATGTAGATCGATGCTCAAGATGTCAATCACTGGATTGTGTGGTCCAGACTCGGTTATTTACAAACCGATGTCACATAGATTGAATATAGCTGAGTGCGGCATTAAACAACAAACAAACAAACACTCTCACCATAAGTCAATCCTATCTCCATTAACATCGCACATGGATACGTGACACAGTCCACTTATTTCATTCATGAAGATATAATGTCAACTTGTGGCCGACCAGGTCCTGATTGATCAGGAACAGCAGTACCCTTCACAGTGTGTCATCGTACACTCCGCCACAGCGAACCTTCATACTAATTTATGCATACAATCTGTATGAATCATTATAGTGATCATGTTATTAACGTGTAGGCTTGTTTTGATAATTGTCGTCAAAGGTAGTTTTCGGTAATTTTCTCAATTAGCATGCTTGAGTCATATGGCTTTGATTCACATCATCGTACCAGGAATGCAAATGTCGTTGTGGGAAAGTTAGGAGCTTGAAATATGTTCTCGCAATTTGAGTGATATTGACGCTTGTTCATTGGATAGTTATTGGACTTAATGTCAAGGGTGGTGTGTTTATGTTCCATCTGGTGCTCCTCGACTGCCCTTGTCTCACATACGGTGTGACAGCCTCTTGAAACAGCTGTCTGAAATGTACAACACATGTCATGTGGAAGAGATGAAATTGACAATGGATGATTAATCTTTTTACTTTCCTGAGAATGTTGCTGTTGTTTTCTATCATGAAAACGATAACAAGATGTTGTGTTTTGAGAATTTCACGAGAGTGAGATTAGTAGTGCTTGGTGAAACTGACGAAATAATCTGAAATGAATACGGGCCTATCACTACCGACAAGGGCAGAAATGGCACATGTGTTACGAGGATGTGAGGTGGGGACTCAGTCGAACATTATACAGGCGAGCCATGAACAGATGAGACATGAACAGGTGAGACATGAACAGGTGAGACATGAATAGGTGAGTCATAAACAGGTGAACAGGTGAGATGTGAACAGTTGAGACAGGAAAAGGTGAGTCATGAACAGGTGAGACATGAACGGGTTAACAGATGAGACATGAACAGGTGAGATGTGAATAGGTGAGTAATGAAAAGGTGAACATGTGAGACATGAACAGATGAGACATGTACAGGTGAGATGTGAATAGTTTAGACGTGAATAGGTAAGCCATGAACAAGTGAGACATGAGCAGGTGAACAGATGAGGCATGAATAGGTGAGACGTGAATAGGTGAGTCATGAACAGGTGAACAGGTGAGGCATGAACAGGTGAACAGATGAGACATGAACAGGTGAGATGTGAAGAGGTAAGACATGAATAATTGAGGCATGAACAGGTGACCAGGTGAGACATGAACAGGTGAACAGATGAGACATGAACAGGTGAACAGATGAGACATGAATAGATGAACAGGTGAGACATGAACAGGTGAACAGGTGAGACTTGAATAGATGAACAGGTGAAACATGAACAGGTGGTTTGTAAACAGGCGAGACATGAACAGGTGAGTCATGAACAGGTGAACAGGTGACACTTAAACAGATGAGATATGAACAGATGAGACATGAATAGGTGAACAGGTGACACATGAACAGATGAGACATGAACAGGTGACACATGAACAGATGAGACATGAATAGGTGAACAGGTGAGACATGGACAGGTGACACATGAACAGATGAGACATGAATAGGTGAACAGGTGAGACATAAACAGGTGACACATGAACAGATGAGATATGAATAGGTGAACAGGTGAGACATGGACAGGTGACACATGAACAGATGAGACATAAACAAGTGACACATGAACAGATGAGACATGAATAGGTGACATATGAACAGATGAGACTTGAACAGGTGAACAGGTGAGACATAAACAGGTGACACATGAACAGATGAGACATGAACAGGTGACAAATGAACAGATGAGACATGAATAGGTGAACAGGTGACACATGAACAGATGAGACATGAACAGATGAGACATGAATAGGTGAACAGATGAGACATAAACAGGTGACACATGAACAGACGAGACATGAATAGATGAACAGGTGAGACATGAACAGATGAGACACGAACAAGTGACACATGAACAGATGAGACATGAATAGGAGAACAGGTGAGACATGAATAGGTGAACAGATGACACATGAACAGATGACACATAACCAGATGAGACATTAATAGGTGAACAGATGAGACATAAACAGGTGACACATAAACAGATGAGACATGAACAGATGAGACATAAACAAGTGACACACAAACAGATGAGACATGAATAGAGAACAGGTGAGACATGAACAGGTGACACATGAACAGGTGACACATGAACAGATGAGATATGAACAGGTGACACATGAACAGGTGAGACATGAACAGGTGACACATGAACAGATGAGAGATGAACAGGTGACACATGAACACATGAGAGATGAACAGGTGACACATGATCAGATGAGACATGAACAGGTGACACATGAACACATGAACAGGTGACACATAAACAGATGAGACATGAATAGGTGAACAGGTGAAACATGAACAGATGAGACATGAACAGGTGAAACATGAACAGATGAGACATGAACAGGTGACACATGAACAGATGAGAGATGAACAGTTGACACATGACCAGATGAGACATGAATTGGTGAACAGGTGAGACATGAACAGGTGAGACATGAACAGGTGACACATGAACAGATGAGAGATGAACAGGTGACACATGAACACATGAGAGATGAACAGGTGACACATGATCAGATGAGACATGAACAGGTGACACATGAACACATGAACAGGTGACACATGAACAGATGAGAGATGAACAGGTGACACATGAACAGATGAAACTGAATAGGTGAGTCATGAACAGGTGAGACATGAATAGGTGAGTCATGAACAGGTGACACATGAACAGGTGAACAGTGAGACATGAATAGGTGAGACATGAATAGGTGAGACATGAATAGGTGAACAGTGAGACATGAACAGGTGAGACATGAACAGGTGACACATGAACAGGTGAACAGTGAGACATGAACAGGTGAGACATGAATAGGTGAACAGTGATACATGAACAGGTGAGACATGAATAGGTGAACAGTGAGACATGAACAGGTGAGACATGAATAGGTGAGTCATGAACAGGTGAGACATGAACAGGTGGTTCGTGAGCAGGTGAACCAAGACCAGGTGTTCC